AGAAAGATTGATCATATCCAGTAACAAAGTGCCAATTAAGGGTACTTCTCAGGTCTGTTCAGGTACAGGTGTGTTCAGATACCTGTCTGTCTTCTCAGGTGTGTTCGGGTTGGAGTCAGGTGACCTGGCGGTTACCTCAGGACGGTTTGGTGGACGGGGTCATGGTGGAGAATCAGGGGTCCAGCAGCGTCCTGCAGCTCTTTAACGTCACCTGGAGGAATTCTGGGAGATACACCTGTGAGGAGACGTCGTCCGATCAGAGCAGAGAGATCGATATCTTCATACCTGGTCAAGGTGACGGTGATATTTATCAGCTATTGATCGTATCGGTCAGGAGACCTGTGTCTGATCCTACCTGTCCCCCCTCAGGTCCGGAGGAATGGTTCGTCCCTCTGGGTCCAGGTGTGGTGATGAAGGAGGCGGAGGAAGATACCATCCCCTGCGTGGTGTCTGACCCACAGCTCAACGTCACGCTGTACCAACGTCCTGGCAAGACGCCGGTTACCACGACGACATACGAGCCGGGCCGCGGCTTTACGGGTCGTCTGAACGACACGTCATACGTGTGCGTGGCGTCCCGCGGAGACGAAGAGAGAGAGTCACAGGTGTACTACGTCTTCAGCATTGTAGGTGAGATTAGATGTCTGTGCCTCTGTCTGTCTGTGTACCTGTAGCTAGATCTGTCTTCTGTATTGACTCTCTCCTCTACCTGTCTGTGGCTCAGTGGCCTAAAGTGATGGGAGGTGGATCTGATGGCGTCCAGCAGGGTGTTGAAGCAGGGAGAAGTTCTGACTGTAAATTGCACCGTTAAAGACGCTGAGATGGTCTTCTTCACCTGGGACTTCCCCCGCAGACAGGTACCTGTCTCTCTCTCTCTCTCTCCGACTGCCTGTCTGTCTGAATTGTGTGTGTCACCAAACTCTGTGATGTCATCAAACTGTCTTGTTTCTTCAGGAAATCGAGCCTCTGACCGACTTCCTGCCCAATCAGATCCGCTCCTTTGTTAACATCTCCATGGCAACGGTGGCAGACTCTGGTAAGTGGTTGTTTCCTGGTTATCAGTTGCTATGGTAACGATGGTAGAATCAGCTGTTGTGTTGTGTGTTTCCCACAGGTGTGTATGTGTGTGAGGTTAAGGAGACGATGAAGGAACAAATGGTGAAGAAAAACATCACTGTGACCGTCCTGGGTGAGTCCACAGACAGGTATACTGCAGACAGACAGACAGACAGACAGACAGACAGACAGGTACACTGTAACCTGTCTCTCTCTCTGCAGAGCGAGGTTACGTCTACCTGTGGCCGACAGGTGAGACCAACCTGTCGTCTCTCCTCCACCAATCAGTGGAGTTCAGCATGGAGGTCGACGCCCACCCTCCCCCCACTTTCATCTGGACCAGAGACAACCAGACCGTTACCACAGAAACCACCGCCATCACCACCACACACCTGAGCGGAAGCAGGTAGGTCAAAGGTCAAATCACACCTTCAGTCTGTCTGCCTGTACCCATCTGACTGACTGTTTGATTAATTGATTGATCGACTCATTGATTGATGTGAAGGTATATGAGCACACTGACGTTGGTTCGAGTTCGGCTGGATCAGACAGGAAGTTACACAGTGACCGTTTCCAATGAGGATGATGTTGACAACATTGTCTTCAACCTGGAGGTCAAAGGTCAGAGAATGTGAGACAGAGAGATAGGATGATTGACAGACAGACAGGTATCTCACTGTGTTTGTGTGTGTGTGTGTGTGTGTGTGTGTGTGTGCGCAGCGGCCCCCAGGATCACCTCTCTGTCGGAGGTTGGCAGTACAGCGGTTCTGTGTGTCAGCGAGGGAGCTCCGCCCCCTTCAATCACCTGGTACACTTGTCCGACCTCACAAAGGTAAACACACACACACACAACACACACTCACACTCACACACAACACTGCACTTGTTGGCACGGTAACCGTGTATCTCCTGCAGGTGCAGTAATTTGACTGGCGGCTGGAGGAGCCTTTTAGCAGCCTCAGAGGGCGGGGCTCTGAACATCACTGAGGAGAGAGGAGTTACCCAGGTAACAGTGACCTCATCAGTGTGAAGTCATCAGTGCTAATGATGTCAAAATTATTGACAGCTCTTTGTGTGTGTGTGTGTGTGTGTGTGTGTTTACCTGTGCAGGTACGCAGTGTGTTGACTCTCCACAGTCTCATCTCTCTGTCAGCTATTCGCTGTGAGTCCAAAAACTCCGCAGGACACCACAGCAGAGAGCTCCGGATCCAATCCAACTGTACGTACAAATACTGCAATACTGGGTAGTACTGCAGTGCTTCTGTAATATTACTGTTATACTACTGTAATATTACTGTAATACTACTGTAATACTACTGTAATACTACTGTAATAATACTGTTAGTACTACTGTAATACTACTGTAATACTATCATAATACTACTGTAATACTACTGTAATACTACTGTAATACTATATATAATACTGTAATACTGTAATACTATATTACTATAATACTGTAATACAGAAATACTACTGTAATACTACTGTAATAATACTGTAATAGTGTAATAATACTGTAATAATACTGTAATATTACTGTAATACTATTCAGTTCAATTTTATTCGTATAGCGCCAATTCATAACAGAAGTTATCTCAGGACACTTTTCAAATACAGAGACCCAACAGTAC